GGTGCATTTGAGAGGTGTTGCCACCACTATCACAGGAGAGGAAGGCGCTGAGCTGCTGGAGAAGATGAGACTCCCATCACACACAAGCAGCTGAGGCAGCTGGTGGCGTTGCTGGTGCAGCCCAAGATAGTCTCAGGGAGGCCAGTTACTGGGGAGGAGTTTGCTGATCTCCTCGAGAAAGTGAGATGGTGAGATGGTCACCGGGGAGGAATGCGCTGATTTACAGAAGGTGGGCTTCCCCGCGCACACAACCAGCTGCGGCAGCTGGTGGCATTGCTGGTGCGGCCCAAGATTGTATCGGCGAGGTCAGTCACTGTGGAGGAGTTTGCTGACCTGCTTGAAAAGGTGAGACTTGGTGCTGTGTGCAAGGGCCACATCCCGACAGCCGACAACAAGGGCCACATCCCGACAGCCGGGTCGGTGGTAGATTCATTCAACCGGGCCGTACAAGACAAGTGCCTCGCGCTCTACCACCACGACATGTGCCGCCTTCATCCGTTCTTGTTAGCCCTGTCTTCCCCATGTGCGCACTATCCCACCCCACCTCCGATCCCCCAGACCCTGAACGCGCTGAACAACTGGCACATCCCAACAGCCAGCTCCGTGGTCGATGCATTCAACCGGGCCGTTCAAGACAAGTGCCTCGCGCTCTACCACCAGGCCATGCGCCACCTGCTCCTGCCAGCAGACGAGGCGCTGCTGCTGGCAGTTCTTGCGGCTTTCTTTCCCCCCCACTCCTGCTCACCTCCTCTCCTCGTTCTCCCTTTCCCTCCACCCCCGCCCCCTTTCCCCCTCCCCAAGACTCTAAACGCGCTCAACAAGGGGCACATTCCAACAGCGAACCGCGCCGTCCAGGACAAGTGCCTCGCGCTCTACCACCAAGCCATGTGCCGCCTTCATGCCTGTTTCTCTCCCCTTTTTTTCCTACGTGTCACTGTCCCTTACATTTTTTGTTCAGACCCTGAACGCACTCAACAAGGGGCACATCCCAACAGCCGGCTCAGTGGTCGATGCATTCAACCGGGCCGTTCAAGACAAGTGCCTCGCGCTCTACCACCAGGCCATGCGCCACCTGCTCCTGCCAGCAGACGAGGTGGTGCTGGTAGCGGCTCACCGCAACGCCAGTGGCGAAGCCGTGGCGGCATTTGAGAGGGAGAGGTTTGGAGGGAAGAGTGTGGAGGACGCAGTTCGACCTCTGAAGGATGAGCTGAGAGAGGTGAGGGATGGGTGTATTTTGAGGCGCCTCAAAAGGTGTATTTTGCGAGCATTGAGCTGTATTTTGAGGCGCCTCAAAATACACCTCAATGCTGGTGGAGGATGCTTTTCGGCCTCTGAAGGATGAGCTGAGAGAGGTGAGGGATGGGTGAGTGTGTGTGTACATGTGCGTGCATGCGTGTGTGCCTTTGTGTGTCTAGGCGCCTGTGCGCGCATGTGTATGTGGAGTCATGTCACCAACCAGCTTTTTGGTTGTCACTGTCTGTCCATCCCCCTCTCTCCCTCACAGGAGCTGGTGAAGCTGAAACGGGAGAAAAAGTTTGCATTGGTCAAGGCGTGTGCGTGTCTGTGGGCGTGTGTTTGAGCCTGTGTGTGCGTACCTGCCTGTCCCTCCCCTGACCTTCCCTCCCTCCCTCACAGGAGCTGGTGAAGCTGAAGCGCGAGAACGAGTTTGCATCGGCCAAGGCATGTGAGGGCGCGCACAGGGGGTGCGAGGAGGAGTTAGACGCTCTAGCCAACATGCGCCTGCCCTCGGTGGCCAAGTTCGATGCCCGCCTGGAAGCATGCAACCACACCGTGGAGCATGCCTGTCGCGGGCCCAGCAAGTCAGCCTACCGGGACCGGCTGAAGAAGGTGAGAGAGAGGAAAGCATACTTGGTTGTCAAAGCGGTACACCTTGGTGGATTGCTTGGCAGGGAATTTCCTGGTGGGGATTCAGTTGAGAAGGGGAGCTGGACCTTCTTGGCAACATGAGTCTGCCCTCAGTGGCCAAGTTTTATGCCCGCCTGAAAGCTTGCATTACAACCACACCGTGGAGCATGCCTGCCGCGGGCCGAGCAAGTCGGCTTATAGGGACCGGCTGAAGAAGGTGAGAGGGGGGGGAGAGGGTGAGAAGAAGAAGCACAGTTTAAATTCTAAGTGCTGCTGGAGGGAAGTAGGTGAGTGAGGGGAGGAGCTGGATGCTCTGGCCAACTTGCGCCTGCCGTAAGTGGCCAAATTGGATGCCCGCCTGGAAGCTTGTAACCACACCGTGGAGCATGCCTGCCACGGGCCAAGTAAATCTGCTTATAGGGACCGGCTGAAGACGGTGAGAGGGTGGGAAACAACTTTCGACTTCAAACCCTTCGACAACCCCTCTTTTCCCACCCTGCTTCTCACTAGACGTGGATTCGCGAGCGGCCCCAGTTCTTAAAAAATCACAACCAGGGCCTTCAACTGGCCACCTCTCCTTACCACACCTTCTCCACAACTTCCCTCTTCCCATTTTCCCTTTCCCTCACACAACTACCCCCCACTCCCCCTCCCTCACCAGATGTGGACTCGCTAGTGCTCCTCCCCACACCTTGGACTCGCTAGTGCTCCCAATTCCTCAAGGAGTGCAACCGGCACATCCTCAACTGCCCATTCCTCCTTGTCGCACCCTCCTCCCTACTCCCCCTTTCTCCCACCCCCCTCCCCACACTAACTAGACCTGGATTCGAGAGCGCTCCCTATTCCTCAAGGAGTACAACCAGTGCCTCTTCAACTGGCCCATCTCTCCTTACCACACCTTCTCCACATCTCCCCTCTTCCCACAACACCCCACACTTTCTCACCAGACATGGACTCGAGAACGCTCCCAATTCCTCTAAGGAGTACAACCAGCGGCTCTTCAACTGGCTGGTCATCGGCGCACCACACCCTCTTCACAACCCCCCCTTCCCCCTTTTTCATCAGACCTGGACGCGGGAGCACTCCCAGTTCCTAAAAGAGTACAATCAGCGCCTCTTCAACTGGCTGGTCATCGGCTCGCTCATGCTCGTCGTGGTCGGCCGCTTCATGGTCAACTGGGTGGTTGTCGAGGTGCTCGCGTGGGCGCTCTTTGTCTTCCTCGAGACTTCTTCACTAATCCTCATGTTCCATTTCCCCCGCCAAAACCCATGCCCTGTTCCTCCTCCCGCCCTGCCTCTTACAGACCTGGACTCGAGAGCGGTCCCAATTTCTCAAGGAGTACAATCAGCGCCTCTTCAACTGGCTGGTCATCGGCTCGCTCGTACTCGTCGTGGTCGGCCGCTTCATGGTCAAGTGGGTCGTCGTGGAGGTGCTCGCGTGGGCGCTCTTTGTGTTCCTCGAGACCTACACGCGCATCTTCTGGTCTTTTGACTCGCTCTACCTCAACCCCGCCTGGCGCACCTTTGTCAACATTTGGGAGGCCGTTGTCTACAACCCCTTTATCGACCTCGACCTGTGAGTTCCTCACAGGCCCTCTTAAGCAATACCGGTAGCAATGCTTGCGATCCTGCCAGCCGTTCAATGCCACCCCCTTTTTTCTCATTGTATGCTCCTCTCCTGCATTCACATCAGGTGCATTTCGAGGCGCCTCAAAATGCACCTCACTACACGTTTTTTTCTCATTGTCTGCTGCTCTCCTCCTGCATTCACATCAGGTGGTCCGTGCCGCTGCTGTGGGTGTTGCTCATCCTCATCATCATGTGTCGCTGCTACCGCTGTCGCAAGCGACCGCACACCCCGCTCCTCCCCACACACCACGACACGTTACACACGCGTAGATCAGAGTAATGGTGGTAGTGATGGTCCATACAGTAGCCATCATATGCTCCCAGGATTCGAAATGACTATGAATAGTATCTTGTTTGGCTGTTGCAATGAACTTGCATGCCTTGGCCCATTTATTACTTCGAGAATTGAGCATGGCTCTGCTTAGATGGCACCGGCTTTTAAGTGGATACTTAGGGCATGTTCCTACGGCCCTTATCAGGCCAACCTCTTATCAAGCTCGCGTCTAAACACACTGAAAATTTCATAAACCTAAAAACCCTCGCTACTTTTACCAGGCAAGGCTGACAAGAGGTTTGCCTGATTAGAGCGTAGGAACATGCCCTTAAGGTGTTGCGAACTCTCGTGAGTGTGTACATATATGGTACGCTTCTGTACATAAGCAAGAAGGGAGACTAGAGAGTAGAAAGGCAGAGACCACAAGCTGGTTCCACACACAGCGATGTACCCCTCATGCTGTTCTGGTATCTGCACATCTCAATATTTACTGCCAAAAAACGTGATTAGGGGAAGGGCAGTGTGCCGGGCAACAATTGAAACAGAAAAGGGGGAAAATAGGGGTAAGGCAAAGATGAAATGGGCTGACAAAGCAACTCTGGCAGCTCTTCGAACACCTTCATGGACATTACCTGTATGCACAAGAACCATTGAAAAATGGTTGCTTGCAGTGGATTCAACGATCAACGCCAGCAGCAAAGCAGCCCAACGACCGTACCTTCCACTTTCCAATGTGATGGATGTGGTGACCGTGGTGGTGATGGTGGTGATGGTGGTGGTGGTCATAATGGTGGTGGTGGTACCCCTTGTAACTATTGTCTCGGCTAGGAAAACATTACCTTCCACTTTCCATAGTGGTGGCCGTGGTGGCCGTGGTGATGGTGGTGGCCATAATGGTGGTGGTGGTACCCTTTGTGCTTTCCATATCCAAAGTGACCCTTGTGCTTCCTCTTTCCAAAGAGGTGCATCGTGTGAGCTACGCCGTGCGCCAAGGCATGGCCGATGTTGTGATGGGCCACCGCGCCATCTGTCAGTGTAACACAGTTACAAGGGCGGCATGAGGCTGGTTAAAGAACCTATACGCATGTCATAAAGAACAGGCATATACCGCAAAAACGATTTCGTGCAAGAGATGCGTGAAAACGGGAGGGAATTATCTAGGCGAACAGCATTTGAAAAGTGACCTAACAAAATAAGAGGTCACGCAGCATAGAATGTAATATCACATCATCTCACGGTGGTAGTGCGGGGGTGGCGGGTGGTGGTAGTGCGGGGGTGGAGGGTGGTGGTAGCCTGCCGGCGGCGGCGGGTAGTAGCCTGGTGGAGGCGGATAACCGGCAGGAGGCGGCGGGTAGCCGGCAGGAGGTGGTGGATAGCCGGGCGCGGGAGGGTAGGGTGCCGGTGGGTAGCCGGCTGGTGGTGGATAACCGTAAGGGTACCTTGGATCTGGACGTTAGGGAGCGAGAGACATTAGAAAGACAGCCACGAATGTTCCGTGACGCGTCAGTGTTGTGAGAAATAAGTCATGATAGTGATATCTCATCGTAGGTTGCTGGCGGAAGTAGAAGAATGTGGAAGTAAACAGGCGCATACGAATCACTACAACTTACCGTGAGACATGACGACAGTGCGCGACGCACTTCGAAAAATAAGGACTTATTCAATGCGGCGTTGCTATTGCAAGCGGGCCGCAAAAGCCTGGCGAAGTCGCCTTCACTGGTGCCCGTCTAGTCCTGACGAATCCAAGAGATTCCTGACTGACAATGCTGCCGTGTGATATTTGTTCTGACCCTCTGGACTTCGATCTTCGAGGTTGGAAAGCCTTTCAATTTCGCTGGGTCCCAGCTGTTACCAGCCCGACGAATCAACAGTTTCTCGCTAATGCTCGCCACACCGCCAAACTGACATGGAGATACCTGAGCTAGCGAAAATGGGGTCGCGACTCGCGAGGGTGAAACCGCAAGGAAAGCGAGTCGGGTAACCAAGGATTAGCTCTGGTCCGCCTTCGTTTACGTTCAGAATCCTACTCAACCGTTCTACGTTGCCAAACAAATTGCATTAGAACGCCAAAGCCGAAGCAGCAATGCGTACCATGAGGTAACCAGGCCTAAACCTACTAGAGAGTTGTGTCATACATCCGCGCACATTCAGTGAATCGAGTACATATATCAGTAGTGTTAGTAGGTCATCAACCTAGGGTAATGTTAGTAGATTGGTCTAGTCTCGGCTGCACGGCTGGCAGGCGACCGCATGTCCGACCCGCCAGTCCACCACTTGGCAGGCGCGCGAGCAGTAGCGAGCCTCCTCGCACGCAGCACAGCAGCGAAACTCTCCTTTTCGCATCTCAACCCTTCCACACCGCGCGTTACCGCACACATGCCTCCCACTCTCCTGAAATCGCTGTCCATGCAATGCCATCCATTCAACGAGAAATTGATTTGCCGGCGGAATCGGAGGAGGCTCCAACCGGACGCTTTTCTCTTCGCTCGTGCAGCAGCCGAAGATTCCGCCATCCGCCAAGACGGCTCGAGCTAGCAGCCTCTCCTCGTCAGTAATTTCCAGCGCCTCGTGCTTCTCTCCTTGCGTTACAGTCACACGCCTTGCAGTCGCAAGGCCAGCTCTTGACAGCAAGCGAGTGGTATGCTGAAGTAAGGTTTCCATGGCTGCTGCATCTGTTCCGAGTGAAAAGTTCGCGGCTCGGCGCTTAGCGCTTCCTAAAAGGTTAGAACTTTCGAGCGTTCTTGCTGCTTCTGCTTCTCCACAATCCGAGCACCTAACGCCAACTCCGTCTTGAGTACTGCTCTCTAGTATAGTTCGCTCCTGTTTCTTTCTCGCATTTACAGGCTGTCTATTCACGTTTTCGACTTCTGAACCAGAGGCCCCACCCATCGCTGCTGCCAATGTATCCCCGCTATTAGCCAGCTCCCGCAGGTTCGCCTCCACCAGAAGCAGCCTCCCCTGGGCGACGCTCCGCTTGATTCCAAACCCATCCTGCACACACAGCCCTAATTCCCGCAGCGCATCCGGATGACCCGCCTTAGCCGCCGCCACACACAGCAGCATCCCCATCCCAACCTTCCGGTTCCCGCGCAGCTTCCACCTTCCTGCGTCCCCCTCCCCTACGCCACCTCCCTCCGCTGCACCACTTCCATCCGCTCCGCTTGTAGGCAATCCGCTACCGTTGAAATGGATGATTGACAAGCTGTGTAACGCGGCTGCGTGGCCCGCCTTTGCCGCTTGCACAAGCCGCTTCATGCCGCTGGCCACCCTCTCCAAGCAGTAAAACTCAACCATACCAAGAAAAAATGCTGCCTCCGCGTTTCCCGCCGCTGCGCATGCCGATAGAAACGAGCGATAGTCGAGCGTGTAGTTTTTCGCCGGGCAAGCGAGGGCAGGAGATGGTAACATGGCGAGAATTTCCGGGAGGAGAGAGATGCGGTGAAGGTGGGTCGACGCGAGGCGACAGGAGAGGAAGTCTTGGGGGGTTGAGGCGCGTGCGGCGAAGATTGAGAGAATGGTCGTGAGCAGTTCATCCTGATCGGGGAAAGAAGCAAAGGGACAGATGTTGGTAGAAGGGGGTGAGCATGAAGGAATGCAGCGATATTGACATTTGCTTGGAAGAAAGAATCAAGACACGTCTAGAAAAAAGAGCGCTGGACGAGACGAAAGCAGTGAAAAGGGTCTCCAGTGAAACGTACTGGAAGGCTGTCGAATGAAGGAGGAATGGGTGCAGAAGTGGTTTTTTCAGTTCGCGCTCGCTTCATCGTTGCCAAATCCTCAAGATGAACGAGTGACACTCGTTTGCAGCCCATGGTGAGTGGTTCGCCGTGAGCCTGTTCTGTGTGCAGCGATAAAACGGAGATAGGCCTATGCGGAATAATTGCAGGCCTCAATCGAGCCCGAATGGTAGTTGTATATTGGGTTTGGTTGAGGATACTTTGTGAAATGGTTGACCTACAACTCAGAACGTCAATTTCGGTGCTTGATTGCAAAATGTCAAAACAAAGCGGAACGCGTTCCTTTGTTTCGCCCCGTTTTGTCTCACTACAGGGGTCGGAAGGGAGAGGGATGGACGAAACGCACAGCGCCGATGGCGGGAGGCCAGTGATGACGGTGCGGCGAATCAGTAGCAGTAGCTACTGCTGTCACTAACGGAACGCGCAGAGCAAACACGCGATTTGGGGCAGCGAACAAGCTGTAAGCCTCATTGGTCGCAGAATTCGGTTAGGTCGTGGAACGCGATTTGAGGAAGTTTTTTTATGCCCAAAATTCGGAGGGAAGGCCCGTGAGTGGCTGGAGATTCTTGGAACGCGAATAACTCGAGACCTGACGGACATCTGCATCCAGTTTGACGAGCCCGCAAAACGAATGTTCATGCGTGGGTTCGGTTACCCCCCAAAGTCACGGGGCCCTGTAAACGCGAGCCAGAAGGAAACAGAACTGTGGTAGGCGTTCGGGGCAACAACTTGAGTGCGGCTAACGTGGAGCCAGTTCGGTGTGGTACTAGTCTGACCTGTGCAGAGGGCGGGCAGTCTCCCGAATTCCACAACCTCCTCAAGATGAGGTGGCTTGTCCAATCAAGTCCAACATTTGACGTGTTCAAGCAGCCTGTGACCCGTCACGGAGCAGCGACCCAAACACCCAATAACATCTGTCACCGTTAGGAGAACTTAGAATACTGAAGATTCGACAATCTAAGTTATTTCATGTTTAAAGTGTTACCTGGCAGGGCAGACTAGTGTGCAAGGTCTTGAGCGCTAAGAACGGGCACCCAGTAGAGCAATGAGTGTAAATTATGTTCACTACATTATGCACCATGGATCCACTAACCGTTCACAACTTCTGGTTGTCAACAAAATTCGACACTACATACTACTCTTCGATGGCGCGCAAACTTCCGAAGCGATTCCCTGCCCTGACATTCACTACCAGTGGAACATCCAAGCATGCAACCTTCTCCATCATCTGCTTGACCACCTTGGAGACTTTGAATACATCCCTTTCCGGGACTTCTAGCACTAGCTCGTCATGAACCTGAGGGATACATAGATTAAGAATGAATCACCGACTATGCAAACAGGCAGCAAAACCTACTTACCTGCATCACAATTTGTATATCTATGTTGTTTCCCTGTACAAGCTTGCTGGCATCCAGCATAGCCAACTTCATCAAGTCTCTGCCCAACAACAGTACAAGAAGTCCAGGGTAAGGGGGGGTGGTCAAGCATGATGTGCAAACGAGTGTGATATGTAGAAGAAACATGGTTCTTACGCTGCAGAGCCTTGTATGATAGTATTCACTGCCTGCCTTTCAGCTTGAGCCCTCCTCTCTGGATTCCGCTCATGTATGTCTGAAACAGACCCACAGTAAAGGAGTAAATCTGACATGGTTGCAAAAGAACAGCAAACCATGAATTACCTGGAAGTAGCCTACGGTGGCCCCACATAGTTGTGACATATCCATCTCGCCTGGCTCTGCTGATAGTTTGATTGATAAAAGCCCTCATACTTGGGAAGTGATCTAGAAAGCTTTGCAAAAGTTGTTGAGCCTTATCAACATCCACACCCAAAATGGAGGCCATGGCTTGTTTTCCTTGCCCATAAAGAATACCATCTGCGGCATTGGTTGAGCATTTTCAACATTACCAGGGGTAGAGGGGGGGGGTGAGAGGAAAGCAAAATAAAAACAAAGAAACAATTAACAGCCTCACTCACAGCACAATCTCTTGACCAGTTGCCGCTCCTGATCATTTACTGCATCTGCAGACTTTCCAAGATACGCTGCTCCAATGAGTCTGAAAACATCACTCTGTTGTCCAGCTTTAAAAACACTAACCTGCACAAGACACGGATCCCTATCAATCTAACTGGAGCAGGAGAAAAAATGACTGTCGGAAGATGCAAAGAGTGAGTGAAAGAAGGGAGAACCATACCAAAGCCTCATCAGCAGACAAGTGAGCAAAGATTCGAAGCTCTATTTGAGAATAATCAGCAGAAACCAGGACCTTCCTGCATGCCAAGCAGACAATGCTTCAAGACCGAAAATGTGTACTCTCTCACTCTAAAGAATCACGAAAGTAATAGGCGTAATGACGAACAACGAGTAGAGAAGGGACAAGGTGAGGAAATATGCAGCCGGGGCATGAAGAGTAAATGTGCAACCGACCCCGGTGCAGACATAAGGGCATCACGAATGGCGATAGCAACTGTTGAAGTGTTTGTTGCTGCAGATGTTCCTTCTAACGCATATGTAGGAAGGTTCTGTCCAAACAACAGTGTTAATTCATCAAAGTTAATTGAGATTTTGATGCTGGTTATGTGTTAATCAAACCTGCAAGTTAGGGCTGGAAGATGACAATCGTCCTGTTGCTGTGTTTGCAGCATTCCACTCCGAGTGAATCCTAGCAGACCCATCCTGAACACATTGGGAAACTGAGCAACCTGCTCAACCTGCATCGCATGCAAAAGTCAAGGGAATACCGTTTCGCTGCAGGAACTTGATAGAAGACCATCAATCCACGTCGACTTGACCTTCAGAAGTTGCCTGAACTGGAATCCACAAACGTTAGGCGGAATAGCCCTGAGCTCTTTAGCGATGTTGCTTTTTTTTAGTGTAAAAGGAACTCACCTCTAAAACGATGGTTGGGAACTGATGAAGTGAAGCAAGTTGACTTAGTGTTGCCTCATTTGTAGTTGAGTGGGTCTGTGCCTCTCGCATCTTGGCCATACCCACACTCTTAGCTGCTCCTACTGGCAGCTTCAGATCCTGCAGTCCCCATGAGCTGAAGTTTTGTCCAGAACACTATATTTCAACTGTACCAGAATGCACCTCATACCTCATACAAGGCTTGAGCCACTTGCTTTGGACTAGCCAAGTTGATCCGACGACCAACCAACTTTTCACCAATCGATGTAAGATGCTCCATCCGTTTCTGTAGCAAACACAAAATATGCATGCATAAGAGGTCACAAACGATGCAAAATCTCAAGTTTATGTGTCACACCTCCAAATAGTCCCGTTTCGACATTAGTAAGTCCATCTGCGTTGAAACGACTCCATGTTAGGCTACAGATGTAAAAAGACGTCTTGGAGTCTTGAATATAAGAAGTCACGCGCTTACGTCTACCCGAACGCCAGCAATCTCCATTTGCGCGAGAACAGGAAGAAGTCGCATGTTGACCCTGCAGTTCCCAAGGGTTTGATAACAGGGTAAGGACAAGGGTAATCAAATGATTTGCCTAGTCATACCTGAATGCATCACGAAGTGGTCCATCTGCCCTTGCGACCAAGGCCGCATGAACATCATTGCAAAGGTTGAGGCTGGTGTGAACACAGCGAAGATGAGCACTTCCTCTAGAATTTGTTTCCACGACATCGTTCCCCTTGGTCTCTTCTTTTGCCTTTCCAATCAACTTCTCCAGATTTTCGCCTAGTTGCCTGAATAGCAAAGAACAACAATGTTGAGTTTTAAAGACAAAGTCTAACAGAAAGAAGGGGGTTGGAATTCGCTGGAAAGCTTACCACGCAAGAATCTTCTCAAGCAATTCGATGCCAGACAAATATGCAACGGATGTTAGTGGCCCATAAGAGCGTAGTCGGAATCATTGTACAGGAGTTTTACTCACTTTGGGGTCAATAAACATGTCATACAGATCCATCACTGCAGAAAAAAAGAAAAAGACATATTCATGTGCCACCTATGTATATGCAAAAAAGAGTGTGTTTGGTGTAGAATGACGAGCTCACCTGGAACTTTCCACTGCAAAAGGGATCTGACGAACCTTTGTGAGTCACAACAGATGATAGCATCTGCAGAAACTATAGCTGCCCGAATTGCTTCTCTGAGATCATATGTGCTCTTGTCAGTTCGTGCAGCAACCACAATCTCAGCCTTCAGTCGACAAGTTACCTGAACTCCTCATGAGATGCGTTGGTGGTGGGTAGAACATCAACATTTACTCCTGGTAATAGAATGACTCTCAACTTAGGCTGACCAATCTGATGAACTACAACTCCAATAATGCTGAGGTCTTCAATTGAGGAAAGGTACATGCCATTTGCTGCCCAATCTCGTTTCTGCACAGCCACTCCGGATGTGAGGGGTGTGATTTAGGTGAGCAAGAAATATGTGCTCATGTGAACGCACCTTGGAAGGAAGTTGCAAATCAAGTGAGACATAAAGCTGACTCCGCTCATCATCAAAGAACAGCAGGGAGACAACAAGAGGTGCTGTGCTATTCAAACTTCTCCACTCGCCACAAGAGACGCTTCTGCGTGCTCCCAGGTCTGCATTCACGCAGCCACCACACTCCAAAGGCTTTGCTGGCAGGTCATTGAACAATTCTTCAGTGATGTTCTTCTTTGGCGATGAAGAAGGCGGTGCTTCCCACTCATTAGGCACTGAACTCCTTTTACGAACTGTAGTAAAATCGGGCTCCGATCCGCACTGTTGTGGGATGCATGCTTGCCCTGACCCAACCTTTTCAATATCTGGAGAAATAATTGCGTTCGCTTTAGCAGGGACGTAAGGCGGTGGTGAACCCGAATTTTCAGCACCAGAGAGCAGCTCAGAGGAGCTCAACGGTAAGTTAGAAAAGATCCCTTCCAATTTCCGCACGCCGTCAGTAGGATTTGTGCACAGGGAATGACCATGATCAAGTCTGTCAATCCTCGACGATGACTTCATAACAGGGAGTGCCTCAGAGGCACTCTCTTCAAAAGCCGAGAGGCCGCTCTCGTCAATCAGGGATGCAGCTTCTGCAC